TACCTACACGGCATGTATAGTCTGACTGGGTATGGGGTGCCATGCATAGATAGAATATCTTCGAGAAGACTCGGGTTAAGTTTTAAACTTGTATGTCTTAGTCAGTTACGATTGTATTTTATCTGTAACTACATATTCCGTTAAGGATATGGACTGTATTTTGTAATACGGACCCCTTCCCCTATATAAGGAGGGGTCCGGGTGCCTCTAGGGGCACGATTTTCTCTCAGATCATACGATCAATAATACACTCGACGGATCAATCCCCGGACAGGAGTAGGGTATTACTTCTTGATTAAGAAGGCCTGAACCTGTATAAAATTCCTTGTCTCTAAACCCATCCACTTTTCCAACTTGATAGCCACCCCCTTTTAGTATTGCCGAAATCTTGTTTCGACAGTTGGCGTGCCAGGTAGGGGCAGCATGATGAGAACACAACTAGCTCAGATATAATCATGGCTACTTTATGTATTAATCAACCAAAGGTGCATATATTCTATATTAGATATACTTGTTATATATTTGAACAAACATTGCTACACGATGAGTTTTGTGTGTTTTTGTTTGCAGAGGTACTTGCTTGGGCGAAAAAAAGAGACCGAACATAAGGAATGCATGGATGATTGAAGAAGTTGATTGGGGACCAAACCAAGGCCATCTCCAAGTCTTCTTTCATCTCTCCACATCACTTTTGGCCCATAGAAGACAAGAGATTAAGTTGTGCACGTTTTGGATTCGGATTCGGGCCTGCTGACAGCATCAACTTCAAACGGACCTAGCCACTGATCTAGAAGGAATTTCGGGGCCCATGAATACTTGTTGGAAAGCTTATGGAGTCTACTTTCTGATGGTTTTGGTTCCACGTTAAAATTCCTACTGAGCTGCCGGGAATCTGCAAAACAAGCCACGTATCTCATCCAGTCCGAATTTGATTTGGGTTTTGGGCCTTGTAATTGTATCGTGGGCTTAGCCCAAGGGGGTGTGCACCCTTGGGCAACCCTAGGACGTCCCTAATCACATTTATTCAGTAGCCGTCAACGTTTAGAGTTGGGTTTTGCTTAGATTAATCTGTCGAGAACAGTTTCACCGCTAGATCGGTTTGTAAGACCCCAACTCGTGAGCTTAATCATTCATCTACAATTTTGGTTGTTTTTCTATCTCGTTCTTTTTTGTGTTCTTCGATTGGAAAATAGGGATTAGCCTTCTCGGCAAGGTCATCCGCGTTTCGACACGGGTGATAACCAGAGTAGACGTGGTGCTGCGATTGCGGGGCTCAAGAGCGTGCGCGTTTAAGAAGCCGGATCGATTTGTGTCGCGACTCCGTCCAAATCGTTGTTTATCAGAACCTTTCGGAAGATCAAGACCTACATCCCTCATCAGTTGGTATCAGAGTGCGGTTGCCCGTTAGGTAATTTATCTTCCATAACCAGAAAATTACCACACAAAAATATTTATTGTTTACCTAGACAATTTGAGCCGTTGCATTGTTCTATTAGATTTTGCTTTATTGAATTCTAGATTGCATCATCGTGTCGAGTGCTGGTTTAGTTTTAGATTTAATTTTTAGTTTTGAGTATTGCACCTGTTCATCACTTAGGTCTAGGGTTCATCACTCAAGTGTGTGAGTTGTACGTCAGTTTTGGGTCTAGTTTTTCATCTCGTCGGTTGTTGCCGGGACCTTGAATAATTGAATCGTCTCGTCGTCGGGTTTCTGTTTTTGTAGTTTGGAGAAGTTTTCATCAGGCGGTTTGGGATTTGCTCGATTTCTAAAGTTCCTGTATTGCCGTCATAATGCGCGTGTGAGGGAGAGGAGATCGGATCTATGCCGTGAATACTCCCGTCTCTCCCGTCCGTAGCACTAAAATTGTTAAGTAGCGGATTTGAGATATTTTTATAAAAACGTAACCTACGTGATGTAAGCATTCCATTTTTTAGGTGATCTAATTTTAATTTTGCACTATGCATTTGAGTCCCTGTAATATTCATATTTACATTTGAGTCCCTGTTCGAGGTCAGTGGTCAGTTCTTGTTGAAAAAAAAAGTAAAAAAATAAAAAAAAAGAAAAGGCAGAAAGGTGCAAAGAAAAAGCCGCACAAAAAAAGAAAAAAAAAGGTAGAAAGGTGCTTAAAAAAAAGCCGCACCAAGAAATAAAAAAAATCATTCATCCTTTGAGTATGTTTTCAGAGTGCAGAGTTGTGCATTGATTCATATCTAGTCCTTAGTGTTGTCGGTTGCTTGCTTGAGCTAGAGTTGAGTCTAGGCTAGGCCAGCACATTGACTAGTACTTTGAACTATTATTCAACTTTGCATTTTTTGATTAGCACAATTGCGTCCCTTTGCTACTATATACTGTGCCTCCCAAGCTCCACATATATACTTCTAGTCAGCACCGCTTTGATCCTTGCAATCGCCACATCACGTTCTTCAAGGTGTCACGGACCAGCCACCGGTTGTACCGTCCTTAGTATTGATGGTAAGACATTTGTAAGAGCTTGGTAAGGTGCTCCATTTGGCTGAGTTGTTGAGGGGCACTACTACACCGCGTAGCAGATTATTAGGGATAACCTTCATTGTTTGCTGTTATTTTTATGTTTGCAATGACAAGTATGAGTGGCGCTCAAAATCAGCGATACCAACAAGGTGCACGTGATGACCGTACTTTGGTGCAACAAGTGCTAAGTTCTCAAATGGAGAAAGCGGAGCAATGGCAGTACCACGAATTATTTGAAACAAAGTTTGTGGTTAAGGATAGAACATGTCATAGTATAATCGATAGTGAGAGTTGCAATAACTTTGTGAGATCAGATTTGGTTAAGAAACTTGAGTTGCCTACACAACCGCATCCTCATCCATATTACATCAAATGGTTCAACTCTTGTAGTAAGTTCAAGGTAAATAGAATTGTGAGAATAAACTTTTCGATTGGAAATTACCATGATACTGCCAATTTTGATCTTGTCCCTATGCAAGCATGTTCTTTGTTGTTTGGTCAACCATGGGTATATGATAATAATGGATCACATAATTTTGTTGCTAACACATACACATTTAGACATAATGGTCGGAAAATGAAATTGGTACCCATGAGTTTTACTGAAATTTTCGAAGATAATTTTCAAAGGATGAACAATGGAATCGATGAGATTTTCAGAGATACCAGGAAAGATGCTATTGTGATGTATTCAACCAAGTCTGAATTACAAAACGAATGTATTGTTGTGACTATTGCTTTGCATACTAATATCTTGCAGGCATCTGAGAACAACCAAGGTAATGAGGAGGAAGAGAAGAAAAACGAAGAGCAAAAAGATCTATCCATAGCTCCATGCATGCTTGAGGAATGTTTAATTGACCAAGCGCCTACAATTTCTGAAGATGAGAAAAAAGGTAAAGATAATGGTGCTACAACTGCTCAAGGTATGCATAGTTATGATGTGCCAACTATGTCCACTACTTATGCTACATTAGAGCAACCCATAGTGGAAACAATTGCTGAGATACCTTTGTCACAAAATAATTTGGTTGATATTTCTTGTGATAAAGAAGAGTTGTGCGATGCTTCACTTATATCCATGTCACATCTAATGAATTGACATCTTAGTTCTTTAGTAGAGCCACTATGTGTTGAGTTTAAACATGTTATTCACATTGCTAGCGAGAATGAAGAGCTTAAATTGCTATCTTCTTTAAATACTTGGGGATATATTCAATTTGATGATCTTTGTCCACTCAACTGTTTAGGGAAGAAATTATTTGCTAGATTTGAATTGCCATGCCCTTCTGATGTGATTTTTCATGTTATTGGCAATTATGATAGTAAAGGAGAATATAATGTGCATCGAGTATATATTTGTTCAAATTTGACCATACCTCCTTTTCATGATGAAATGTATTGTGTAGAGCACAACATGCGTATAAGTTATTCTCTATCTAGTTCCTCTAGTTGTTTAAATGAGTTACAGGTTGGTTTGCAAGAAGGGGAGTGTAGTGGTTTTTCGACTACAAAGATTTCTGGATCCAATCATATGACCATCAAGAAATGTTCCTCACCGGATGTGATAGATAAAGATAAGTTCAATACGCTCCATGACAAGGTGAAACCGAGGACGGTTTCCAATCAAGAAGGGGAGGATGATGAGAACACAACTAGCTCGGATATAACCATGGCTACTTTATGTATTAATCAACCAAAGGTGCATATGTTGTATATTAGATTTACTTGGTATATATTTGAACAAACATTGCTACACGATGAGTTTTGTATGTTTTTGTTTGCAGAGTTACTTGCTTGGGCGAAAGAAAAGAAACCGAACATAAGGAATGCATGGATGATTGAAGAAGTTGATTGGGGACCAAACCAAGACCATCTCCAAGTCTTCTTTCATCTCTCCACATCACTTTTGGCCCATAGAAGACTAGAGATTAAGTTGTGCACGTTTTGAATTCGGATTCGGGCCTCCTGACAGCATCAACTTCAAACGGACCTAGCCGCTGATCTAGAAGGAATTTTGTCACAGCCTGATTTTCATTTCAGGATTTATAAATTATTTAATAAATTATTAATAGAATTTATATTAAATGTTCATTAATTTACAAGTGAAGTTAAATGTGGGAAATAAAATTTCCTAAATATAAAGCATGGTTGGATTTAATTTTTATTAAATTCTCCATGATTAATTATACTCTCTGGAATTTTCTCGGATTTTTCGGAGCTCAATTCTTAATTTTAATAATACAAAGAATATTTCTGTAATTGTTCACATATTAAATTAATCATTAAATGAGCTGGTTTCAATTTTTTTAAATAATTAGAGTGTCCAAGTATGTTCAAGATTTTTCTTGGAATTATTTGAGCTTTGGAAGTATTTTTAACAATTGAAAGATCATCTCTATTTGGAAAAGTAATAAGAATTTTCCTCTCAGCTTGGGCCGAATTGAGCCCATTCTCTCCCTTCCTCTTAGCCCGGCCGAAAGTCTGTTTTGTGTCCCTGCGCCACTGTTCATCTTCCAGCTCTAGACAGAGCCGACTGTCTCCCGTGCCGTGCACAGTGCCGCCGCCTCCTCCCACCAATCCGACCTACCCGTTGCTCCTATTTCCAAATTAGTTGCAGGAATGGAATCCTCTCAATCTCCTCTTCTTTTTCCCCAAGAAATCCCCAAAAGTTTCTATGGAAATCCTTTCCAATTTCGCGGTTCAATCTTTCCTTCCTCCGGCGAGAACCCTAGAATTTCCCGAGTTTTTCCCGTCGATTTGGGCCCGGACCCGAGCTCCCGTGCCTATATAAAGGACCCCCTAGTCGTCCTCTACCTATCTCCTCAAGTCCCGTCTTCCGCCGTCGCCGGAAACCTTCTCTCCCCGCGCTCTCCTTCTCTCTCCAAGCGCAGGCACCGCTCCAGCCGCGCCGTTCGTCGTCGTCCATCGTCTCCTTCGGTCGCCGCCGCCGCCGTTGGATTCGCAAGGAGGAGGAGAAGCCCGGCAGCCGGTTCCCTTGCGCCGAAATCTCGCCAGAAGCCATCCTCGCCGTGAACCAGTGGGTTGCCGCCGTCTTTTGTTCTACAGCCGCCGTTCGCCGTCGTCCCAGCTGTCCCTGGTCAGAGCTGCTCCCTCCTTCGGCATCGCAGCGCCAAGCCGAAGGACGTCCACCCCTCTGTTGCCGCCGTTCGTAGCCGGAAAGTCGTCGCCACCGTGGACAGTACCTCGCCGCCCTTCGAAGCTCGTCACCGGCCATCTTCCATCGCTGTCCGTCGTCGCGTAAGTGTTGGTAAGAATCGCCGTCGCCTTCTCTACCTCCCGGTGCCCTCCGTTTGCATTATTGTGTCGTGGTTCGCCGGCAACCACCGCTCCTATGCCGTTCATCTGTGAGGTTTTCCCTAGGGTCTTAATCCTATCTAATCTAATCTAATCTTGTTTGGCCCTAGCGTCGTCATCGTCTCCATGTGTTGCCGCCGGTTCACCGTCGTCATCTATCTCTCTCCGATCGCTTTGGTTCGGTGAGACTTCTATCCGTGTTCCCTCGGTTTAGTTTTTAATCTCTCGTTTTTGTCGTCGAGTAGCCGCTGCCGTGCCATGCTTAGGTGCTGCCCTAGCGTCGCCGCTGCACTAGCCGCCTAGCCGTCGCTGTGCCGCTCCCTGCTACAGCCGTGCTGCTGCTGCTCGTGCGTGCCAAGTCGCTGCCATCCCGCTACCGTAGCCACCATCTGCCGTTGCTGTGTGTCGTCGTCGCTGTGCCGTCGCCCTAACCCTAGCCACGTGCCTCCGCCCAGTCGCCGCTGCCTAGCCGAGCCAAGTCGCCCTAGTGCCGCCGTGTTGCAGCTGTGTGCCGCTTTAACCTAGCCGCCACTTTAGCCGTTGCTCGGTAGCCAAGTTGTCTAGCCGTAGGTATATCCCTAAATTTCTACTGGCCTATCGTTTGCCGTACCAGGGCTTTACCGTGAATCGTATCTAGCTCATCGGTTTAGTCGCAGCCGTTGTTGAGTCGTTCGCTCGTTCGTTCAAACGAGGTGTCCCCGTGCTTCGTTCGTTCGTCTGTGTGGAGTCGTCCTTTAGTTTAGAGCCGTTCAGAGCCACCGGTTCCGTTCACCGGTTTCGGTTGATCATTTGGGTGATTCCGTGTCACGTAGAATTGACTCGTTGAGTCGGTATCTCGTGAGGCTTGCTTGCCAGATCAATCCAAGTCATCCGATCTTGGTCGACACGATCAAGATTAATCTTAGCCGTCCAAAATCGATATAAATCCGTTTTCTTTTCAATGGCATATTATTCCTTTTTAATATATGTCATCTACCACATATGATCTAATCTTTTTCCGGAGGTTGTTTTAATCTTTTCTCTCCGTTATAAATCATTTGTAAATGGTTTAATTAATTTGGAATAGTCTTTTCTTTAATAGGTTTAATTGGAATTAAATCTTGTAAAAATTCATAACTAATTCAAATGAAATCGGAATGAGGCCGTTCAAGTCTCATAATTCATCTAAAATTATGATCTACATGATTGTTTACTTTATATGTATTGTTTATTTGGTTTTTATTAGTCTTTTTTCTCGTTTTGCGTGTTAGCTTGTCGTTTCGAAAGTTCGTGAGTGCGTTGGAAGTATCCAAGAAGATTAATGGAAGACCGAATATTGCGAGGCAAGTCACACAGATCCCAAACACAATTCCTTTGAGCATGTTGATCCTATATTTAAATTCTCTATTTATTTCAACTGTGCATTTATTTTCGAATGTCACCGGGTGGTGTGAACTTATTCCTTTGTTATGGCTAATTTGCATTGATTACCCTATGTCTTGATTACCTTAGGTTATAATTTGACTAGTTGGATTTATATATTGGTTCAGCTAGATATATTAGATATAATTGCTTAGCCATGCTTAGAAACATTAGCAAATGATTGGGATAACTAATGTTTCACTATTATCTAATGATGGATATTTAATCATAGCTCACGATGGCTAATCGTGATTGGTTAATTAATTAATGTGCCAACTAAAACCTGATAATGGTGGGTTGTGAGCACATGGTTTTGATGATCGTGCTTATGACAATTAAGGACCGGTTCATGAGTTTCGGTTGTGAAACATTAACCGTGCCAACCACAAGCCAGCGTGGGCAACGGCTTTACCTTTTGTATAGCATGGTTCATTGCGCGGCACCAGACTGAGAAGTGGTGGAGATAAGCCTACTGGGGTCGCTGGGGAGTCCATGCCTTGTTTATAATGGGGTGATTATGATCCAGGAACGGTGCGCTGTGGTGGATTGTGTTGTGCAAGGGGTACTGTCACAGCTCTTTTCCGAGGTACCGTGGTGGTATTGAGGCGCATGGTGACATGTCGTGGGGTTGTGTCTTATGGGTACAGTGGTACACCTCTGGCCAGAGTAAAACTATTCGAATAGCCGTGCCCGCGGTTATGGGCGGGTCTAACAATGTCTTTCGTGATTAGTCTCACACTTCTCACCATAATAAATGATGCTATAACTGATAATAATTTCATTAGCTCCTGGTTTGGAATGGTACATTCCTGGTTTGGAGATAGATCTGTACAACCGGGTATGGTTGTTCAGGATGGTTGGGCCTGTGCAGTATGGGTATGCTGTTCAGTGTTGATTAATATTGATGATTAATTACTCTATTGTTTTACAATTCTCAAATGTTTGCTAAATGCTGCTTTTGCAAATGAGCCTATATTATGCCATTCTTTGGTATCCTTGTGCACTTGCATATTTGGTGTGTGGCTTGCTGAGTATGTCATATGCTCACCTTGCAATAATCAATCAAACCTCAGTTGAAGAAAAGTTGCGATGGAGAAGACGTTTGGCTTATACCTCAGTTGAGCTGCCTGTGGGAGTGGAGCCGGAGCTTCGCTAGATTTTATTTTCCGCTGCAGTTTTCTTCATGGTGAGGACTAAGTGCCTCAATTTATCGTTTTAGTTAATTTGATGAATCTGTATATTAAATTGTCAATCTGTGTACTTCGGCTGATTCCTGGACGAGGATTTAATGCACAAATTAGTTTAGAAATTACTTGTGAATTTCCGGGCGTGACAAATTTCGGGGCCCATGAATACTTGTTGGAAAGCTTATGGAGTCTACTTTCAGATGGTTTTGGTCCCACGTTAAAATTCCAACTGAGCTACCGGGAATCTGCAAAACAAGCCACGTATCTCATCCAATCCGAATCCGATTTGGGTTTTGGGCTTTGTAATTGTGTCGTGGGCTTAGCCTAAGGGGGTGTGCGCCCTTGGGAAACCCTAGGACGTCCCTAATCACATTTATTCAGTAGCCGTCAACGTTTAGAGTTGGATTTTGCTTAGATTAATCTGTTGAGAACAGTTTCGCCGCTAGATCGGTTTCTAAGACCCCAACTCGTGAGCTTAATCATTCATCTGCAATTTTGGTTATTTTTCTATCCCGTTCTTGTTTGTGTTCTTCGATTGGCAAACAGGAATTAGCCTTCTCGGCGAGGTCATCCGCGTTTCGACACGGGTGATAACTAGAGGAGACGTGGTGCTACGATTGCGGGGCTCAAGAGCGTGCGCGTTCAAGAAGCCGGATCGATTTGTGTTGCGACTCTATCCAAATCGTTGTTTATCAGAACCTTTCGGAAGATCGGGAACCCTAGTGCATATCACAGCATCAAGTTCTTCGCCGACTAGTGCGATGGGTTCCGTCTCCGGCATCGACGACTTCGTCTTCCCTCCCGGGCAGGCGTTCCGGTTCGGCAGCCTCGACTTCATCACCAACGACTTTGGCAAGATTTCTCTCCTCGACTCGGATTCGAACCAGTCGGAAAGAGGCTAGATCTCCGCTCTGTTCGGGATCCCGAACTCGGCCGAGGTCTACCCTAAGGTCATCTCCGCCGAATTGGCTTCAAACCACTCGGACGAGATCCAATCTACTCCAACATGACCCGATCAAGATGATGGGGCCTATCCGCCAATCCTGATGAAACTCCCCGATGATTTGGCTGCTGTCTTCACTACAAGGGCGTCTTCTCCCCGTAGGCCTAGGCAGGATCCGGCTTCAGCCCCGGTCCGGCCTAGCTCTAGGGAAGTCGGCGTCATACTCCAGCCACTTGGCACGGTTTCGACGGACCAACTGGACGGCTACCTCAGCTCCCCCGGCGTTGACTCACGACCAACAGAGATCGTGGAGTACGATGACTTCGGCTATCGCTACAACAACCGCAACCTCGACGACTTCGACGAGGGCTTTAAAGATAACTACACCCCTCTCTACTTCGGCGTCTTCATGGCTGACAACGAGACGGAGGAACAACACAAAGCCCGAGAAGCAGAAGAGCTACGCGTACAACAGGAAGCCAAACGACGCCAATTGGAAGAGGAGCGCCAAGCACAAGAGCGAGAACGGCTGCAGCATGAGCACCAGGAACGCGAGCGGGCTGCAAAGGAGGCTGAGGACCGATGACAACGGGCCTTGGACGCCGGGCGACGAGCACGAGAACTTATCGGGCAGCTAGACGTCAAGGGAACTGCGGTCTTTCGCACCCCTCAACAGAACGCGGTTGCAGCGATCACCCTCCTCGACACCCTCCTCAAGGAAGACATACTAAACTAAGCTAATCACGTCGTCAACATCTTGAACCAGACAAAGACCATGATCGCCGCCTCAGTCCCGGTTAACTCCGCAAGCGTCCGCACGCCGACTAGCAGCCGAGTTCCCCATCTTCAATCTCAAGACTATCACTAGCCGAGCCTCAGCATCGCCTCACGACGAGCGATTTGTTCACTCGCCTCCCGAATGACACAGGGAGCGCCAAGTTGAACGGCCACGCTCCCCACCTCGCAGGCGCCCCGTCGATTTTCGTGATACAATCAACCAGCGCTGCGCGGCACGAGGTTACGCCCCCCACCATTCACCGGATCGCTACGATGACGATGTGGATGGAGTCGCTGCAATTACAAGCGACCTGCGTCGAGTGGATTGGCCAGCTGACTTCAAGCCAACTAGAATCGAGAAGTATGACGGCACCACTAACCCGGAGTCTTGGCTCACCGTCTACGGTCTCGCAATTCGCGCAGCAGGAGGAGACAGCAAAGCCATGGCAAACTACTTGCCTGTGGCTTTAGCGGATTTTGCCTGGTTCTGGCTTCATGGGTTACCCCGTGGCACAATCAGATTATGGGCGGAACTTCGCGACCACTTCATCGCCAACTTCCAGGTCACCTTTGAACGCCCTGGTACACAGTTTGATCTCTACAACGTCATTCAGAAGTCTGGAGAATCCCTTTGAGATCTCCGACATTACCGATGACGTCATCATTGCTGCTTTCACCAAGGGAATTCGTCACGAAGATCTAGTCGGCAAGTTCGGGCGCAAACCCCCCAAGACGGTCAAACAGATGTTCGAAAAAGCCAACGAGTATGCCAAAGCCGAAGATGCCATTATCGTGTCCAAGCAGTCGGGCACCACTTAGAAGCAGAAGAAATATACGCCGACTACAGGAGGGAGTGGAAGTACCAATCACAAGGACCGTAAGCGTAAGCCCGAGGAACTTGTTGCAACTACTATACCTTCCTCCCGACAACGTTCGCGCGTCAACACTTTTGACAAGATCATGAACTCCCAATGTCCGCATCATCCCAATTCCAATCACGCGGCCAAAGATTGCTTCGTCTACAAACAATTTGCAGAACAATACGCCAAGAACGCACGAAAGGCCTCCGACGGAGATCAAAGCACGTCAAAGAAGGACGATGACGATGATGCCCCGACAGGTTTTCAAGACCATCGCAAGGAACTCAATCACATCTTTGGCGGACCCCTGACTTATGAATCTAAGAGAAAGCAAAAGCTGACCGAATGGGAGATTAACACTGTTCAGCTCGACACGCCCCAATATCTTCGGTGGTCGGAGACAACAATCAAGTTTGACCGCTCGGATCATCCTGACCGAGTGGTCCACCCGGGGCGGTACCCCCTGGTACTAGACCCAGTGGTTCGCAACATCAAGCTTCGCAGATCTCTCATGGATGGTGGCAATGCACTCAATATCCTTTTCGCTAAAACCATGGATGATATGCAGATCCCTCGCACGGAATTAAAGCCGAGTAATGCGCCCTTTCACGGAGTCATTCGAGGTCTATCCGCTACACTACTCGGCCAGATCACTCTTCCGGTTACCTTCGGCACTCGGGAGAACTTCCGCACAGAAAACGTTTGCTTCGAAGTTGCTGATTTCGAGACAGCGTATCATGCCATACTCGGATGCCCGGCGTTAGCCAAGTTTATGGCTGTCCCGCACTATACCTACATGATGATGAAGATGCCTGGTCCTCGAGGAGTCATATCCCTGTGGAGCAACATCAAGCAAGCCGTCACATGCGACAAGGAAAGATGCGAGATGGCCCAGACCCGCGAGATCACGCTCGCTCGAGAAGAAATCCGACTAGCTGCGTCCACAGCAAACGAAGGAGAAGTGCCTGTAACCAAGATGCCAAAGAGCGGAGAAAGCGACGCCAAGACCAAGAAAATTCCTCTAGATCCTTCTGATCCTACTAAGACTGCTGTAATAGGCGCTGAGTTAGATTGTAAATAGGAAAGCGTGCTCATCACCTTTCTTCAAAATAATAAAGATATCTTTGCATGGAAACCATCTGATATGCCTACTATTCCTAGAGAGGTGATTGAGCACTCTTTAGATGTTACGGAAGACGCTAAACCAATCAAGCAATGACTCCGCCGCTTCACACAGGATAGGAAGGAT